TTGTTTTGAGAAAGTAGAAAAGACGCCCCTCGGCATTCTTTTCGTCTTCTATCGAGGATTATAGTAATTTCTAACCAGGAAATATCATGTTGGTTTTGTGTAGATAGGAAACTATGCGGCGGAAAAATGCAAATTTTTATTCAGCTAGAATTAAGAAACCCCACAGCCACTGATTTTTTTTTCAAAATTTTCCAGGGATGACATATTTCCCACCAATTCAGCCGTATGAATAAATAAAGTAGGGTACTCGTGTACAGAAGGTTCTGAATGCAAAATTCGCTCCCCTTATCTGTAAAATGCTCTATTTCTGCAAAGTTTGAGGAGAGATTTTCTGATTTTCCGGTTTTCCTGACATTTTCTTACTCCATTTGAAGAGAAATTGATACTTTCGAGCCGAAATTTCTGCTGTTTCCAGTGGAACACTGCCTACGGTGGATGTAGTTTCGTTCACTACAGCTGAGTTTCACGCTAAATTGTAAGATTTGGGGAAGATGGATTGTTATTTAAGAAATTACTGTAGGCTCGATCTTCCCAGATTCCAGTTATATTTGAATTCTTACCCATTTGCAGATGTGGAAGTCGAAGATTTCAATGATTTTTTTCGATTTTTTCTCGAAAATGAAGCTATGACGCCTTTTTTCATACTTGCACTTCTTCTAATGCGAATTTACTAAGAATCTTAGCTCCAACTTTGTCGTTTAACTCATAGCGCGGTTTTTTCCTTCAAAAATAACTCTACAAAAATCAATTTTACGACTTCCTTCTATAATTCCATAAATTCTATAATTCTATACTATATCTAAATTCTGTAATTCTAGGGTCGAACGTGTTCACCGCGCTAAGGACGGCCATTTATACTGCCATGTACACTTCAAGCTGCTTGACGAAGAGGGTCGAATTCAGCTCGAAAAATCGCTGGAAGAGAACAACAACATGGAAACCTCGGTCGCCGAGCGATCACAAGCCTAGAACGCTCAGAATATATCCTAAAAAAGTGCTTTCTCTCTAATACTAGCCTCTTGCAGTTACTGATATCTCGCAGTTGATGATTTGTATTGATGAACCAAAATTTTTGTGACTAACATTGCCATTTTTATTGCCTAAATACGAATTGTGACCAACGACGTCCACTTGCATATATCACATGTAGCGCATAGATTTTGAATGACCGAAAATCGTGTATGTATATGCAGCCATAATAAATTATTGATTTATCGATTTTGTTTGCGACTCCCATGCATATGAATTGTATCGAAACTGTATTATACATTTGTTTTCGTCATGGGGAGAGTAGAGGACGATACGATCATCGCATTAGTGACGAGAAGCATTCTGATTCGATAAGGTTGAGCAGGTTTTGTAAACTACTACTACGTCACTCTACTCGAGTAGATACTATTCCTCATGTGCCAATTTTTGAGGACCGGTCCAAAAGTCTGTTACGCAACCAACACCACAAAATAAAATTTTTGGGGACGCCACCCCTCGTTCCCTGCACATCCGCTCCTTCCGACCGTATCGTACGTATACCTGAATCAGGTTCAATTAGTTCTAGTATCCAGGAGTTTCAGCACTGCATCTCACCTTTCCAAGCTTCCGTGAGTGGGAGGGGACGTTACGAACCGCCTCAATAGGCGCTTTCGCAGCAGTGAACCCTAAACACTGCGGATTTAAACTTTGCCACTCAGCCGAGACTCGAACCGGCGACTGCTGGACTGATAGTCCGACACTCTGCCGACTGAACCATTCAGCACAGTTTTTGGGGAAAGGCCAAGGCAACCATATGGCGAGACGGAGATCATGGAGAGCAAAACAACCCACGTTGGCTTGGACTTATACCTGACGTCGTCCAGAGTTCAAAGTTCCGCTTAGGTTTAGGCTTATTCCTGGATCTTGACCTGGGCCCAGGCTCGCGCTTAGGCTTATTACAAGGCGTCGGCCTGGGCTCAAGCTTCTCTAGCGTCCCACTGTCAGCAAAAAATCTAGGACCTCTTCCACATCCCATCATAGGTTTGGCATCGTTATGGAACGAATAGAGCCTACACCATTAAAAGCACGGTCTCAGCTCATTTTCGTGACTGAGGTAATAAGAGATAATAACAGATTTTCCTCTCTCGTGATGCGCTGATTTCAACGATAAGCGTTTTTTTTTTCGAAAAAAGGCCAAAAACCCCGTTTTTGAGGGGTTTGAGATCAAACTGTTTTGTAAGAGTTTTCCTGCCGGGTGTTCTAACCCTTTCTCAGGCTCCTATGAGATTCTGTAAACAACCAGATAGTGTATCAGTATGATGGGAAGAGCATACCAGTAGATTTTTTCGGGAAGAATCTAATGAAAGGGCAGTTAGGACGAAATTTCGCATTTTGACCTACGCGCAGCGATCAATCTCGGGGGTCAAAATCACTGCGCTGTACGTGCAAGCTGCAACTTGGCTCGACCAAGACCAGGCTTTGACGAGATGAGAGCAGATGAGAGCGCCCCATCCTCATCCAGTGCTAATTTTGACATTTCAACCCTTTGAAGGGTAAGATTTCTGTCAGCTTTGTCGTTAGATCTGTATACCACTCTGGACCCGTATTCATAAAGCCGTTTGGAGTTCGAATGTATTTGGGAATGCACTTCCAGGAAGTTTCATGCTAATACAGGCTTTATTTTTGACTCGACTCGGCAAGTACGAACACAAAGGGATGACTACGACCCAAAATGTAAAAAGAACTTTTTCAGCTGCTCTAAACAAGGTTGCAAACCGTTTGGAATTCCAAACTTCTTTTATGAATACGGGCCCTGATCAGCAGCCTACGCCGAATTTAGATGCGTCAAAATTTCAATAACGTCTCGGGTGAGACTGTGCCTTTAAATTCGTTCTCGTGAAAAGTACTGCGTCCAGCCTTTATCAGCTAGCTCACTAGACCAAGGAAATGAAGTGCAAAGCGCGGAAGAGGAGAGGACTCGAACCAGCAACCCACTGTGCTGCCCTAGGCACAGTTACCACTGCGCCATATCGCACTATGTCATGCTGCACTCTCTCTCTCTCCATGTCACCCATACCAAACCGTTTAATCCCGGTTTGCCGCGTTAGGCTCTGGTCATTTCATTGTCAGCCGGAGTTATATTCTAGAAAAATCGCCTAATTTTCCTTTGAAAGTACCAATAATTTAGTGCTTTTCGCAAATTCGCCTTTCTAGTGGACTATATAGGTAGTTTGAGCAGTTTTACGCAAAAGGTTCCGAACTCGAATCTGCACTATATTGTGAAAAATACTCAATTTTTGGTACTTTTGAACGAACATTAAATGAATTTTGTGACGTCCTAACTCCACTAAAACATAAATTTGCTGCTTCACAGATCAGCGTTTTTGTATCGGGATCAACATATACGAAGTGGTGCTGAACCTGTTCATTATAGTCCCACCTAATCAAGAGGTTCGCTGGTCAGCACAAGTTCGTTCTTAAAAATGCTAAGGCTAAATGGACCAGCACACCTCTCCCTCACCCCTAATCCTTCAATAAAACGTAGTGCTAGATCAAATCAGTACCAAGGCTCAAAAGTAGAGGCCCACCTTATTTATTGCGATATTCAGTTTGGAATAGTGATAAATTCTGGGAGATCTCGACGCGCCGAATCGAGTGAGGAAGCTGAAATTACATAAAACCTCAGAAAACCCCCATTCTGGCCCCAAAAAATCGAAACCGGCCCCGTACAAGCTGCCTAGCATGAACACTTGCGCGCGCATTGGCGTCATCAATATCGGAGATCAAAAAACTTGAGCTAAAGAATGGACACGCTTGTTTGACCGACTCTCCGGATCGGAACCATTTGCCATATTCTAGAAAAATCTCGTCCAATAGTGAAGATTAATGGAGACACTCCGTCATCGTACAGTTCGATTTGTGTCAAATTTCCAAAAAGAAAAAAAGAATTTCGACCTCAAATTGTGCCTTCAAGAGCATTCGCAGGCTAAGGTCGGTTGTATCTGTGAGAGAAATGCGTGCCTGCGAAGAGACGCAGAGGCACCTGGCTAGGGACGCAGAGGTAGATCATTCGATTCTGGGTGACGCCGATACATTCTGACCGCAGGATCCCAGCATGCGATGCAGTCACCTCGCAGATCTGTGCTTTCCTCCGGGACAGTACAGTCCTGCTGAAAACCGAAGACGTGGGTGGTTACGCAATATAGGATGCTTGATGGGCGAGAGGGGTGGTGGAGCGGCTGTCCTATCAATAGATCAAAATTCGGGCCGGTCGATAGTTGGCCCTGCTCCCCTGCTCCAGCGCTCATCTCGCCTACCGCGCATCACATAGGAGGGGGCGGTCAAGAGCGACGCGTCGCAGACTGCCGCACTGCGATGTCGCGCGCGACTTCTCCGCTACCAACCGTCTACCGTGTTGGAGATTAAGCTTGAGTGGCGTTTTAGCCCTTCATATGTTACCCGTAGCCCTCGACAGACCCTTACTTCATGTGAATACCAATAATAGCACCGCTTTCTCTCTCAAAAAGGAATTTGGTGTCATCGCGCGCGACGAAAGAAATCGACCAATCAGAAGCGCGCTGTACCTCTTCACCTGCAGCCGTATGTCCGATGGCTTGTGAACCCCAGTGCTGGAGTTAGTAGCGTGTAAGGAACAGCTGGAGAAAGTTCTAGAGTAAAAGTCTAAACCTTTCGACGTGTTACCCAGAAGTTTGCTGGATTTTTTTTTCTTCGAAGACAGGACTCGGCTTAAGCACATATCTGGAACCACATAATTTTTTTTCAAATTTGGAAAAGTAGATGAGCTCAATTTCTTTATCCAACCATTAAATCCGAACAAAAATCTATTTCACATACAATTCTGATTACTATAAAACACGCGATATATACAATGATTACCCGTAAACTCACGATCGTTTCAGAAACCGGGAGAATTTACACAGGAAAGTAGACATAGGACAAAAATCAGATCCGGACGAGTTGTACCAAAAAACTGATTGTACTTACAGGCAACTCTAGATAGATGTCACTTCTCATTTACAATTAGAGAAGCCGAAATATAGCTAGCAGTACTGCGAGAGATAGAATAATGGTCGAGGACGAGTTTTCCTGTTCTTGCGGAACTGCTTTAGTCGAGACTTTTGTAGTTGTGGACACTGGTGCCGTTGTCGTTGACTGACGAACAGCGGGCTCTTTGGAAATCACATTAGTGTTCAGTGGCATGTCGTACTGAAAAAAGCACATGTTTTATGATTGCTTTGTTACAGCTACATATAGTTCTCTCTGCTCATGTCCTACCTTGATTACGCTGAGCTGTGACGGGTTGATCTTCGCCGAGGAGACAATCGGGTAAAAGTGAGAGCCGCGATTCATGTCGTGAGCATTCACCTCTAGAAGTGAAGAAATAAGGTGGACAAATAGAGCATTACAGTTATAAGGAAAAAAAAAAACTACAAACCGTCTGGCTGAGCCGATCCAGTAGCGCCCATAATGTAGTAGCTCTTGTTCAAATCCCATATAAGGCCGTTCTTTCTATCGATCTGCGGAATGATCTGTTGAGTGAATTGACAGACAAGACGACCATCGATTACTTGTGAGGTGACATTTGATATCATCGTTTTGTGTTCATCCTGGAAAAAAAAACTGAAATTTCGAGGGTACGTTGGAAAGTCCTAGGTACAATATTTTACTGAAGGTAATAGTAAACATGATGAAGTTTGTTGAAAAAAAAAATCATGCGTCTACAAAATGCATACAAGAGTAGGTTTCAAAACTTCCGAAATCGAAAGTCAAAAGTCGGAAGTGCCAAACAACACCGGAAGTCGGAAATCGAAAGTAAAGGGCTATCACTTAGGAAGATAAACAAGATGACAATAAATTTGGGATATAGTCCGCGTGTAGAATTAACACTGTACAGCACCATTTAAACCTTAAGCGCCACAAATACCGAATTAACGATTAATGAGGCGTAACAGTGTTAAGAATGTCATGCATGTTTCGGTTATCTGTTTTTGTATGTTTTATGTTTCATGCGTTTTACACACGATCTTTGTGTGTAATAAATACAGATGTCCTATGGGAGACACAAAATTACATAAAGGATCCTTCAACAATATTTCAAAGGCAAACTTCCGATTTTAGAACAGTTTTTCGGAAGTCGGATGTTTCGGAAGTCGGAATCCCGCCCAGCCTTGCTTCATAGCAGATATATGTAGGAAGCATCTTTTTGAAACGGAGCGGTTTAAAAACTATGAAAAGTTACTAACATCTAATTACGTTGTTTTATTGTTTTGCTGTTCCTCTTTTCACTAGTTCTCTTTTTCTGTCACGCCCTCTGCATCATTATGGCATAATTTAATAAATATTTTCTTTAAAAAAACTTTTGAAAGAAGGCAAAAACCTGAGGCATTAAAACCATCGTAGTGAAACGTGCTGGACAAATCAGAATCCTAACGGGATCTTAGTGTATTACGTATTACTCCTAGAAAGAGCTAAAATTCCACAAAAAAATCCAGAATTTCTTCTCTTTTGAATACTTCATTCCAGATCCTGAAATGGGCAAGGAATTTTCCGAAAAATTACAGCAAAAATGCGTGAACCACAATAAAGAATTCATATCGCCTATTTTCTCAATTCTTCTTTAACGACATGGACTTTAACTGGCTAAGACATTTAACATCTTCTTGCTAGAACAGTTTTTTTTTATAACGAACCATATGGTATGTGAAACTTACATCATTCAGATAAACGCGGTCATTGGATTTTCCGTGATTGAAGGAAACAAAT